CTTCTTCTTCTTCTTCTTCTTCTTCTTCTTCTTCTTCTTCTTCTTCTCCTTCCTCTTCTTCTTCTTCTTCTTCTTCTTCTTCTTCTTCTCTCCTTCTCCTCCTCCTCCCCCTTTCTCCTCCCCCTCCTCCTCCTCCTTCTTCTTCTTATAATGCCCTCTCTATGCCTTTAAAAACCCTTTCCTGTTTGTCTGTTTATTTAGCTCAGTGAATTTCCCTTCTACTTTCTAGATAGGATGCTGCCTAATTCATGAATCATTTAATAAAGCCAATTAGACCTTCAAATCTACTCATCAAATTTTGTTTTTTAACACCATTTTTTGGCTATTATGAATAATACTGTTAGAACCTTTATGTTCCAAGATTTGTGTAGACACTTGAGTATATACCTAAGAATGGAATTATTGGGTTGCATGTTAACTCTATATTTAACATTTTGAGGAATTACTGGATGGTTTTCTAAAGTGGGTAAACCATTTTCCATTCCCATCAGCAGTGTATGAGGGTTCTAATTTCTCTACATCCTTGCCAACACTAGTTAATATCTGTCTTTTTAGATTATAGTCATCCTAGTGGGAACAAAGTAAGACAAGTGCTAAGAATTTGACAAATGTGACACAGTAAATTTTAATTTTCATTATACCAAAGTGCTTTTACGAGTAATTTTTTAAGACAAAACTCTGATAGAAATTCAGAGAAAAGTCATGAACACACAAATCACAGAAAAAGAAATATACATGTCTATAATACTCATATGGAAATATGCTTAACATCCTCAACAATAAAAATTCAAGTTAACCCAAGAATGAAATGTCACTATTCTTCTACACACTGGGAAAAAAATTAAACACAATGATAATGCTCCATTGATAAGGCACTTTCATCAGCATTGAAAGAGTAGGAATCAGTCTTTGTTATAGCAATATAGCAATCCCTGTTAAACATTTAAAAGTTACATATTCCTCAGCACAGTGTTCCACACCTAGGATTTTGTCTCACAGAAATGCTTGCCTACAGGCACAAAACTGACTGAAAATTATTCACTGCACTACAGTTCCTACTAGTTAAAAAAAAAAAAAGACATGAGGAAAACAGCCCAAATATGTATCTATAGTAGGTTATTAAATAAAATGTGTAATATTCTGTACCCACTGTGGAAAACAGTATGGAGATTCCTCAAAAAATTAAAAATAGAATGACCCTATGAGCCAATAATCACACTACTGGGTATTCATCCAAAGAATACAAAAATACTAATTCAAAAGGATAAATGCACCCCTATGTTTATAGCAGCATTATTTACAAGAGCAAAATTATAGAAGCAGCCCAAGTGTCCATTGATAGATGAATGGATAAAGATGTAGTGTATATATACAATGGAATATTACTCAGCCATAAAAAGAATGAGATCTTGCCATTTGCAACAACATGGATAGAGCTAGAGAGTATTATGCTAAGTGAAATAAGTCAGTCAGAGAAAGACAAATACCATATGATTTCACAAATATGTGGAATTTAAGAAACAAAAGAAATGAGTAAAGGGAAAAAAGAGAGATAAACCAAGAAACAGACGCTTAACTATAGAAAACAAACTGATGGTTCCCAGAGGGGAGGTGGGTGGGGCAATGGGTGAAATAGGTGATGGGGATTAAGGATCACACTTGTCGTGATAAGCACCAGGTGATGTAGAAAATTGTCAAATCACTATATTGTACACCTGAAACTAATATAACACTGTATGTGAACTACACTGGAATTATAATAAAAAACAACAAAATTTTAAAAATATGTAATATCCGTGAAATGAGATCTAAAAAATTAACCAAAGTATGTGCATGTACTGACAAGGAACAACATCTGCTCTGGATAAATAAGCAAATTGTAAAATATTAAGCAGAAAAAGATCTGGATTTTTTAAGAATAAATAATGATTTGTTAAGCTCAAAAAAAGGAAACTTGGGATTTTGAACCATTCACAGGCTTGTGCCTGAGGGATGGGATTACATAGGAATGTTACATTCTAAGTTAATTATTTCCATAATGCTCTAGCTCTTAATAATAAAATAGAACTAATAATAAAATAAAATAATTTCTATAAAAATTTGAAAGCTCCACAGTGAAAATTAAATGTAGAGAAGACCTTAAGATGATGAAAATCAAGTGCCTACTCCACTCTTTACCTCTCGGTTCCATTCCACAGGACTCATAAAAGATATTGTGAATCCTTGACATGAAAGATGAGGATTTGGCTCACATGCTAACTCTTTATGTTCCTCCTTCTTCTCACTATTTGGATGAATGGATGGATGGGTGGATGGATGGATGGACTGATGGATTGATCAATCAATAGATATTCTACTTATTTGTATAAGTTTAAAAAATATAATTAAACCTCTTCTGATTCATCAACCTCCAGGAGCTCCTTTTGAACCTGTCTCTGTAGGATAAGGGTGTTAGTAGCCTCATCTATTCCATTACCTCCTTTATCCCCATATCCCACTCTCTGTTGCACAAATCCTCATTCATCCTTCCTCCCACAACTGTGCTTTCCAAATTAGATGACTGAAGAACTTGCAAAACAAAACAACAAATGCTTAAACATGGGGGTCTAGCAGACTGGCATAAGATTTCTAATTTTCTAAATATGATTATCTGTATGATGACAGATGATTAATTGGAATAAGGCAAAAGTGGTGGAAGCTAGATTCTCAGTTAAAAGGCTGTT